TGGTGAGGTCAAAATTACAAAAATATTGGTCCTTCTAGTAGAAAATAGGAGGACCAGCAGCTAATATAGTCCTTGTAGAAAGATGAATGTACAAGTCTCATATGGGTTGTAGCACGTTGAAGGTAGTTAGGAGGATAAGACTAAGGCTTTGTGGCCTCTCTTAGAGACCCTTATACACTACATGTAAGCCTTGTTGAGGCTCGAACTTTTGATCTATAAGCAAATTATCTTTGAGGTAAAATATTTTCACTTCCATTTTTCAATTATTTACTTCATATCTTTAAAACTTTATAACTTATTTATAGTAATTTGGATTTGTATGTTTCTTATATCATTGAAAAGATAATAAAATTATCTATGTAAAAATATAATTTTTATTTTTTACTTTTTACTAGATGAAAACATAATGAACAGATTGTGACTTAATTTTGAGTATTGCAATTACTTCATGTCATTTATTTCAATTGCTTTGTGGTTGTTCTTCTTTTGTTCTTGTTATTTTCTTATTTCACTTCACACCACCAATTACAAGAAACTCTTAATTGAGGCCATCTTGTAACTTGAGTTGAGGAGTCAAAATTTATACTCACAATCTCCATTGGCATTGATTGTTGTGTCGTAATATTAGATAGGAACATACAACTTAGTACTATAGGTCATGCTCCACAATTTTTGAAATCTATAGCATCGACCCCCTCTGTAATCCAAATTTCCTCTTCAAATGCTTATAGATCTTTTAGCTCCACGTCTCATTGGACTCTAGGTTTCAAATCTCGTAGGAATCGATCCATTATCTTTGCCTCCAAAACATTGCCAATTTAGAGGCATAAGGACTTGAATCGGGAGACATAATCTTGCAGTGATCTAGCTTGTGTAAGATTTTTCAAGTGATCGGGTATTATCTTCACTACATTGATGGGCCAAAATTGATTCTTAAACTGAATTTCAAATTCCTCTCAGTCACAAAATCTACCTTGAGCTCTATAACTTTAAACTCGATGTTGCCACCAAATGGCTGATACATCTCTGAAATAGTAGATTGCATATATAATTTCTTTACTAGTATTTGCTCTAGATAGTTGGAGATATTGTTGCATGTTGAAGAGCCATTGACATATGTCTTCTTGTCTTGAAGTTCCAAAGTATGTACTAGGCTTACTCAATTTCAACCTAGTAGATGTAGACTCTCTTGTCCTCGAGGCTTCTATTTGCCCTTACAAAGTAGCTATTTTGTGTAAGAGGTGTTGTATTTGAGCCTCCATATGGGATGGCTTTGCCATATCTCCCATATTGTAATTTTTCTCATAGACTTCACTATTATAATGTCATTTCATCTCCTAATTGAGTTTTTAAGAGTAGCTTGTTATTGCCTCAATACAGTATCCAATGTCACTACAACAACTGAACTTGGATTAAATGATGACTATTGGCATGCTACCAAAAATAAATAGTCTAATACTTTTTCAAGAACCAATGAAACAGGACTAGTCTAACTCAAGAATCTATCTTTCCAATCTAAAATAACGTAAGGCTTCTTTGCAAAATAGGATCAAATAGATTAGAAGAAAATGAAACAGAATAGGACATGAAAGATAAAACTGAGCAAATAGAAACAAAACAGAACACATTTGAGTAAAAAGATGCAGAACCAAACATTATTAAGAAAAAAGGTCGGAAGCCATATTTGATTAGATGCCTCAAAAGGCCCTAGCCAGTCGTATTTATGCCTTGTCCTACCACCCTAGACTTTCTAGATTGTGCTTAGGTAATAGGTTCCAACTAGATAACTGCCTTAAACTCCTTTTCTATAAGGTTTTATGGTGGGCTCTACCTTAAAAACCGCCCTAAATCCTTTTTAGAATGTTTTAACATAGATCCTATCCGATCCACTAATCTAACTCTAATTCTAAAAACTTCCATGGTTCTAATTATCTATATAATTATCTTATCTATATCATGTTATAGGAACTCACACCATTAAAGCACAAACTCTATAAGATGAAATTATACTCATATTTGAATTGCCAAAAAAATAAATATCTTTGGTTTTTTGAATTATTCATAGCAAAGTTAGTGTTGCTAAAAATTAGAATTTAAGTTTTTCATGGTTTGACATGGATTGTAGTAATTAATGTAATTTATATGCAAAAGTTGAATATAAAAAATCTATGATTTCTTCTTCAACTATGGTAATATTTTAATATTACATTTTCCAATAGATGAATATTGATTATAGGAATTTAATTAAAACTTGTTGCTCAATATTGATTTACGTTTTTTTTTAAAGTAGTTATTAGTTATTGCTCAAAGTTTGTTGGCTTCTATAACCAAGCTATAATAAGTCTTTTAGAACAAAAAGAATTTGGATCTAAACTCTATCTCATTATGAAAGATTGTCCAAATTTCATTTTCAAGATCACCTACACAAGTCTTTAGTCTCGCTGTAATAGCTATAGCTAAGTCATATTTGGTATGAATCTTATTGAAACTATAATTTTGGGCATATTAGTAGTCTTGATTTCTTTGTTCTAATTCTAATGATTCAATGTGTTGTTGTATTGCTTTTAATTGAGCTATGAAGTTTGATATTTGATATTAAAGAACTTTACCATTAATTGGTTGTTCTTGAGCTTGCAACTATGAGATGAAAATAATGTGATTTTTTTCTTAGAGGCTAACAATGAAGCATTAATAACTAATAACTTAATTATTAATAAGGCCTTTAGATTAACAATGAAACTTATTCATTTCATTGAATTCTATAGCCTTAATTAAAATCAATGGTTTTATGTTTAAGATTGGTTATACTCAATTTTAATTAGGCTATGTTTATAAATTTATCCAACTCTATTAAATTTTTAATTTGCAGTTCTTAAATAAAACTAAAAAGATTTTAGAAGTATTACATTTTAAAAAATAAAGTAATCTAATCTATAAATTTAACAATAAAATCAATAATAAAAAAAAATAAAATCTATACAATTGCCCATTTTTTTTTTATAATATTTAAATTATGATCAACTTGCACCTTCTTTAATTGAGGTCAAAAAATGATGTTGGCACACAAAGCCATTTATTCATGCTTATAGGTGATATACTCTATTATCACAATGTAGATTTGCTTCCATGTCAAGTATTACAACTTAGCAAAATTCACAAGATCTTACAAACAATACATTTAGATTTTGCTATTAGGCACTTTTCTTGAATAATCATGACTTAGAAATTGCTCAATATAAAATATTTGTAGTCAATGTTGCATAAAGAGTTTAATAAATATTTTTATCCATGAGATTATTAGTGAAGAATATGTATAAAGCTCAAAGTCAATTCACATTTCTAACAATAAAATTACATGTATAACCATTCACAAAATAGAAACTTTTCTTTATTGTATCTATCAAATATATTGCACACTATACAAGCAATTAAAACACTTTATTGCCACAAACTATTGTACAAAATAGATTAAACAAATTCCATAAAAACAAATATAATTGCAATAACTATCTAATTTGTATAGAAACATGTTCTTACTTGGTTTAGGTATCTTTTGAAATAATTATAACATATATTTTATAAACAAGGTTGTTGAAAACTTAATTGTACATCTCTCATATCAATGTTATATTAACTTAATTGTACATCTCTCACATCAACCACATATTAACTAATCTTTTTTAAAACCATATATCTATATATATATATATTCAAAATAAAATAAAATAAAATAACAGCTTTAACAAATCTATAGTTTATTGTAATCAATTTCTGAAGAATACAGCTTTGTTCTTTATCAAAAAAAAAAAAAAAAAAAAAAAAAAAACTCATCCAAAGAGAATTAGAAAATAAAAGAAGAATTAAACAAAACCAAAAGTTATGATAAATACAATCAAATACAAGGAAACTTGTAAACTAAAAATATCACAAGGAAAAATGGCAGTATTAAATCATGTTTTATGCATAGGCAGAACGTACAAAACTTGATGCTTTCAAAAATCCTAGAGGAGAATTCTGCAAAGTTGTTTATGCTGTAAAATCAAGAGTTTTAACAAGATTATTCCCTGGTAACCAGGTTTCATCTTATAATCCTGAAATCTCATGAATTACCAGGGTTATTGAGGAGAATTCCGCAAAATTGTTTAACTTTACAATCAAATGTTTTTACAATATTATCCCCTGGTGATTTATAAACCGTGTTGTACATACTTCTGTAGAGATTGTTTCAATAACCTCTATTGATTAGGTTTTTTGATAAATGCTTTGTTTTTTTATTATGAAGTGTTCTATAGAAAATTACAACAATTATACTAGTTTAGAACCTTATTATGTATATCTTTAAAATAGCATTCTATTTGTTATACAACGACAACAAAACCTTAACATTACTTGTACTCGTAGATAGAGAACAGGTCTAATAATAAATCAAATAAAGGCATTACAATGTTCATACACTAATCACAAAAGCTTTATCTATCAAAACTTGCAGAATACTGGAAATTTAATCCAGCCTCAACAGACATAAACTGAGAAGTACAGTAATTCATTTACTTGGTATTGAAAATAGTGAAAAAATATTCGCCAAATAGTCTCGTAGAGTCCTGTAGAATACATAACGAATCAAGATGTACCCTACAAACAACCGTGCGACACCAAAGTGACAAGTCTGGATAGGCAACATATGAAACTGGCAACATAATTACTCTACATGGTAGACTCAAAAAGAAGTCTCGTGACTAAATTATCCTGGTCATGAATGCACAGTCCAAAAGTAGAATACCAACCTTTATCACTGAGTATGAAAAAGCTTCATCTCGTCCAAAGCACTGATTTCGATTAGCAAAAGCACCCTACCATACCAGCTCCACAAATGTCATAGGTGCTACCTGTAGGTGCAAGGACTGTTTTACGCATGCAGGTACCACCTTGAAATGAACCCATGATTCTTTGCAAACAAACTGCTTTAGAGGGTAAGTTCCTAAGTACTCCACTGCACCGAATCAGTAAACATCCAATGGTAATTGCAAAGGTTACATAGTGAATTCGTCCTGGAAAACCCAAATAATTCCAAGATTGAGTGAACATGAAAATGTGTTGGAGTGTCGCATTACTATTAGATCGTACAAAAAAGGCTATCAAGGCAGTCACTATCTCTGCACCGTGTAATCTACAGTTATCTGCCGGCCATTCAAGAGAGTCCTGCAGAGAGCGATTTAACCTGTCAGGATGTGGACAAGAGGAAAATACAACACTATCTTGATGAACATTCTCCATGATCCATCTTGCAGCCTAATGCTGTACGAAAAGCGCAAAGTTTGCAGACTACGGTTCTTTGAGTATTGCTCACCTATGAAGACTTCGTTTCGCTGAAACAGCTTCATCCACGCTTGAGAAAGTTATACGGAAAGCATTTCCTTTCTCGTCTTTCTTAAAATCCTGCGAGTTCATCCAACATAGAAATCGGGAATAAAAACGAAGAAAAGTTGGAGGAAGCATAATTCGTCAACATACCTTCAATATAACCGTATTGAAAATGACTGTTCAAGTCCTAATCAGTCTCATGCAACGTGGGAAGGCATTTTTTAGAAAGTAAACATGAAAATATACACAACCGGGATCAAAGGCTTACCAGTATCTTCCCTTGCTTCTCAAATGCCTCCACCACCACTGCCATTGACGTATTCTCTGGAAAACCGCTCACAGACAAAACTCTACACAGAAGATCCATGTCATTATCTTTACAAGCACCAAATCAAGGACCAAAGCTTTGTCACTCTTGTCGAGCTAAATTTCTACTTAAATGAGTATTAAGAGCGAACATCACATTCATTTGGTAATCCCTTGGTTTCCATAAGTTAGACGATAATAAACTCTATACGAAATGCAACCGGGAAGATGATAAAGTACAACAACCACGAACTCTTAATATTAACAATTCATTGGTAGAAAATTCATATGCTGCTTCTACAGATGTTTAAGTAATACCTGCTCTTCGTGACAGGACCACCAAGTCGAATAAGATTGTTCCCTGTAGCTCCCATACCATTTCCTACATTTGGAGGAGCAATAGGCTTTGTCCCAGTCCCAGAACTCCCAGAACTGTGCCTACGATCAACCCCATTTTCCCGACTTCGTTTACTTCCAGTCTGACCTGTTGAGCTTTTAGACCATGCACCAGCGTCCTTCCTTGAACTAGGGGCCGAATTCCCATTATTATGAAGACTACCTCTGTTGTCACCGTTTGTTCTCCAGGTGCCATCGACCTGAGGACGAGTGTCCACTTTCTTCACATTGGGATTTTCTCTGTTAGATGCAGTACTGCTAGGCATTACTATGGGCAACGATCCCTGTCTCTTGGGGGTTCCCAAAGCTATTACTCCGGCAGGAGCTATACCTGGACTTACATTGACAGGAGCTACATGACCAATGACTCCAAGTGGTGAAGGAAATCCAGTGGGAATACCACCTACAGGTGGCTCACCCCAGAGAGAGCTCATCACTTGACCTCTACTCTGGCCCTGTGCCCTAGCTCGAGCACCTGAAATAGTTGAAATCTCGTGATGCACGGCAGATGCAGGTAGCCAAGCATTCATTTGCCTTCCAGCTGCTCGATCTCGGTTACTTGACTGGTTCAACAGATGCGACCCAATGCTGCCTCGACCTGCAGCGAAATCAGTATTTTGTGGAACTCTAGACCCAAAACCTTCTAAAGGCCGAAGGAAATTCATCTGTTGTCCCGAGTCAGGTGTTTGAACATGTAAATCCATTATACCATGCGATGCCTGTACTTGTCCTCCTATGAGCTCCAGACCCATCATAGGCCGCATGGTGGAACTATTCATGGAAGCTCGAAGTGCCTCAGAATTAGCCATGTGGACCTGGGCCTGGGCGTGAGCATGAGCATGCACATGTCCTTGGGAGTGAGCATGAACATGTGCTCGGGCTTGAACTTGAGCTTGCGCTTGCGCATGAGCATGTGCTCGGGCTTGGACTTGAGCTTGAGCTTGAGCTTGCGCATGAGCCTGAGCCTGGGCTTGGGCTTGTTGGACTTCTTGTGCTAATTGCACACATTGTTGATACCGTAATATATGTCCTTGAACAGCCATGCTATCTCTAATTTGATTTTGCATCTGCTGAACAAGCAATGTTGATGAATGTAAGCAATCACAGTCTTCTTCGACGAATCAGTGCTAGTAAGTAATACTAATTTATCAATGCAACGCAAATTATGAAAGAAAAGAGCCCATCAACTGAGAACTTCACAAGCTCCTAAAATGAGATACAGAACACAGCAAAATTCAGAGACAACGTCCACATCAGCATTTGTACTTAGAACACGCTCGTCTAGTTTCATCCTCAGGAATGTGACAAAACAGACGTATGAAATTTTTAAAAATTTAAAAATTAAAAGTGACTCCCTACACATGACCATCACTTTTAGACTAGTAGTATGAACCATGACGTGGCCTACTTCATTTACACCGATACTTGATGGCAAAAAAAGGAATCAGAGGATCACATGTTGCCAAAAAGAGCAGCAATTAAAAACAGGCTACTTCAAGTAGGGCTTCATAATCTAACCTCACTATGATTCAGTCTTCCAGGTGCCACCATCCCTCCGATGGGTCGTGGAAATCCTCGGTCAATAGGTCGCAATGGCATATGCCCCCCATACTCCATTGGGACTGGAGGTCTTCCTGGACCCATAATGCCTGGTCCAGAATTCCCTCGATGAAAGGGCGCTGCATTGACACCTCTTGTGCCTGAGGATGTCATTTAATTAGTAAGAACATCATCCATAATCATAAAGAACTTGAGCTACATTCGAAGCAGCTGGTGGGCACGCCAGTAATAACTTGGTCTTAAAATAGCAAGACAAAATGACATATACTATAAATGCATGAATCTTGGATAAAAAAATACAGTATCTGCTGTGCTTGACCTCTACAAAAATTACAGAACTCTACTCACACAAGAGCGAAACAATGTGCGACTTAAACACGAGTGCAGACCTTCACTAACACAAACAATTAATGCAAATTGGAATCTATGTATGACATTCCGATTGGAAAAATCGCACTACTTAGTCCGGGAATCGAATGTCTTCTAAAAAACATGTACTGAAACCAAAATTTACCTCTAAAATAGTTATTCCTCTGACTTCCATGCATTTTGTCGCTGAACAACCAAGGAGCAAAATGTTACGAATTGAAACTACAAAGCACATATTCCGCACATATCTCAAATCCCGTCCGAATCAGTAACACGCCAAGAGCAAATGCCCGACAAAAAGCCCTTTATGCGTGAATACATCCAAGAGCCACAAAACCAGAATATACAACAGAAACAGACAAACGCCCTTGAACAGGGAGAAGCCTTTAAAGAATTAACTTAAGTTCTATGAATTGTGCTTTCCCTTCAAAATCTTGTCGCTTGTGACACGCCTCTGAGAATACTCTCGACACTGACTTCATTCAATAGCAAAAGAAGAATTTAAGTGTGAACAAAGGGCCGACAGAAATATGTGACCTGTTCGATCAACTCTCAGGGGGATCTAAATCGGATCTCATAAAGCCAAATCCATTTATTAAACCACTCTGAAGACCAATGACTTCATGCATTACCTTCCCCGCCCTCTGTGCTGCCTGCTGTGCACAAGAGCCGATTCATCCGCATCTCTTCTTTCCTTATTTTCCAATTGCCTCTCCGCAGCATATCGATCTTTCCTACGTTTTGGCTCACGCCGATCATTCTCACCTTCGTCATCGTCTCCACCATTGGATACTGCTTCAGGGTCACAACCCTCGGGCTGTTCCCCGCATTTCCAACTTCCACATATGAGTGTTTAAATTGATCCTTTCTATCTACTTTCCCTCTTGAACAGGGTTGAGGCTTCCTGCAAACATCACGTTTACAAAATCCAATACCTCTTGCCCAAAAAATGAAGGACAATGTCGTTCAGCTCTACACATCTGTAAGATCTCACTTCATAACTCATTTCAAGAGACAACTAAGGACAACTAGAAGAGTTACTACTTGAATCAAAGAAATTGGCTCCTCAAGCTATCTTCATGTTTACAATGAACCACACATGCAAAGCTGAGGATGCAGAGACAACTGAGGAGAGTGAAACCAAAAAAGTAAACTTCCTTTAAATAAAAACGCGCTCTCTAAGTGTAGATAAGAATAAGGGCATTCATGATTACTCTATGTAGTTTGGCAGACGTCAATCGTTCCAAATTCTCTAGCTATTCAAATAGCCGATGTTATACTCTCAATTCTTAGACAAAAAGTATCGTCATTGGGATTTATCTTCTCCGAATGCTTCACGAAATACTGTTCCTGTAGATGCTTAGACCTTCGTGATCTCACTTTGAAATGAGTAACCGAGTTCCAGGCCAATAACGGCCAACGAGTGTGAATGTAATGTCCCTCTCAGTTAACCAATACAACAGGATCACAAGATGAAATTTTAATAATGACATGAAAGCATAAAGAACCGCCTCTATGTATTTGGCAATGACTCCTCCCCTCCACAAATAGCCACAAATCTAGCCACAAAAGTTATACCACACTCAATTAGATACTTGAAAGTTCACCAAATGGTCCCTCTGGTTATATTTGATCCCCCGCCAGTGCTTTGAATACGCCTTCAACCTCTGAAAGGAATTGATTAAATCCAGCCGTCTCCTTCATGGTTTCCCAATGCCAAGTGAAACAGTGGCTTAGCTGCCGAATTGGTCTCATTCAAGTATGAAAGCTAAACTGACAACCCTCAATCCCATAAGGCAACTAACACCTAACTCGAGAAAATACGTACAGGACATGCCCCGTGGACAAGACTTTGGAATAACGCGTAAAGGAAATGAGCTTCCAGACATGGAGCAGAATCAATGACCCCCTTACCTCAGAGACAACTCTCCCTCGATACGAATCTGAGGTCTATGGACATGTACAGAAGATTAAATAGATAAAAATAAAATTCAACTTCAAACTCCGTTTCAACTCTATCAGGATAGAGAAAGAAGCATGAGTTGATGAAGCAATATGAAGAATGAGGAGAGAGATCTTCAATCTCAAAGGAGGACTTCCAAAGGAGGAATTGAAAGAGAAATGCGAACCAGTCGACAGAGCCAAAGTCCGCACAAAAGGAAACTATAAATTCCAAAATCTGTAACTCTCACAGGTGCAGTCCTCAGGAGTCTACGACCGATTATGGGACAAATGAATAACATCTGAATCTTCATATGATATGCAGCCCCAAAATTTCCGAACACTCGTCTTAGAAGCGAAGAGCGGATAATTACTTCGAGACAAGAACCTAACCCCTACCCAACAAACACTTGAGAGACGCTTCCGGAATGGAATGATGTTAAATATGATGCTGTGATAAGAGCGAGCAGTGCATGTCCCCTAACGAAAAAATAAGTTATTATTTTTAAAAAGAATTGGAGGATAAAATTGAAAAAAAAAAAAAAAAAAAAAAAAAAAAAAACACTCTGCTTCTCAAACAGAAGTTTTAAAGTATCCTTCCCTCTTTCATTCTGTCTCGCTCCATTCCTTCCTCTCAGGAAATGATCACAGAAAAATGGCAGCACGAGAAAACATAAACAAGAGTTGATACGGCTTCTTCTCTCCCTTTCTAATCGCCGAAAATCCCCGAAAGACGACAAGAAGATAGCGATAAACCACGACAGCAGAGGCTACGACATGTAACTACTGCCACTATCGGAGAGATGCGAGATAATAAAAAGAGTAGTGGAACGAGAGAATGGAAACCCTAGCCAAGAGTGGGAATAGGAACCGGACCGGAAACTGGGGGTGGGAGAACGGATAGTAGCGAGGGACACCATGGAGAAGAGAGAGGGGTGATCACCATGGCAGCGTCGTCAAGCTCGCCATCCTCAAGGTCAGGCTTAGGGGGCAACAATTTGTCCCTAGGTTGATGGTCTACAACGGGAGGTTGCACAAGCACTCCGTCCACTTGAGCAGCATCTTTCTCATTCTCAATTTCGACACTGCCGAATCCACCCTTTGTGGTAATGGTGATGGAGGAGGGAGGATTAGTAGTTGGTTCTAACTCATCGTCTTCGTCTTCGCCAGATTCGAAGCCATAGTCGGAGCCCTCAAAGTCGACGAGCTCCTCGTCCTTCAAGTCATAGTCATCGTCGTCATTAGCAGGGTCCGTCATCGCAGCGGAGAAAGAGTGGACAGAGAGGGGAGGGGAGGGGGAGGTGTGGAGGGGAGTAAGGGTCAGGGAGAGGGAGAGGCAGCAGTGGATGGGAACAACATATGGTAAGTTAGAGAAGAAAGCGAAGAGGGAGTTGTGAGGATGGACTGGACTAGGAGTGCCGTAGGACCAGAACGCCGAACGTAGCGATAGACATCAGGTAGGGAGGGAGAGACATCGCGAGACCACCACCACGATAGAAGCACAGCGAAGAAGGAGAAGGAGAAGATGGAGAAAAACAGAGGAAGAATGAGGAAGATAGCGAACTGTTGCCAGGTGCGGTAAGGCGGGGGAAGTGGCGAGAGAGCGGGTAGAGGTGGGGGAAGGGGTGCTGCGTGTGCCTTTCTTGCTTTCTTCCTTTCCTTCTTGTTCCCCTCCCTGGCGTTGCTGTTAGTTTTGTTTCTTCTTTCTCGGTTGGTGGGGGAAGGAAGGGAACGGGAAGGGGGAGGAATGAGGGAGGGGTGGCGCGGGGGACGGGCGGGGGGGGGGGATGGGGGGAGACCAGGGCAGGGTTGCCATGCAGGCATATGCATGCAATGCTACAGTACCTCCCTCTCTGCCCTGCCCTACGCTGCCCTTATGTTGCTCCCTCTCTCTTGGTGTGCCTCGCTTGTTGCTTACGAGTTAGAGTGAGTGAGAGAGTGAGTGAGAGAGAGTGCTGCCTGCATGGACGAAGAAGAATTTGCTGCCCAGTCACACTCCAGCCCAGCACACCCCCCCCCCCCCGCATGACCAAGGCATTATCATCATCTTGGATGGATGGATGCATGCCACGCGGCATCGTTCCGTTTGTAGCGGAGCATGGAAGCTTTGCAGTACGAACGAACGAACGAACGAACGAACGAACTTTGAACACTATCATTCTCCTCTGGACCACACTTCCTTCTCCTCTTTATTATTTCATATGTACTTTATCCTTTTGTAAATTTGTGGATCTTTGTAGTTGGGGTTTTATGGAATAAGGAAAGTCACGGTACAATGTCTCTTTCAATTCAATTTTACAAATAATCAAAGTAGTAAAAGATCATCCTAGTAGAATTTTTAAGGATAAGACAAAATGATTCTATTATTGTATTTTTTTATTTAATTTTTTTCCAAAAAACATGTAGCAACACCAAAATAATTTTGGAAAGTGATAAAGATTCTACACAATATTGGTAAAACTGAATGCAAAAATGGATGTTTGTTAAATAAAAGAATGCATTGTATTATTATACAAAATAATTGTTAGTAAAAAGAGAATTTTCCATTCTTTTTATGATGATTAATAATACATTGCAAATGTTTTGTGAATACTTAAGCCACATATTTGGTTTATCTATAAATTTCATAATGAAATACTTATGACAACTTGATATTTAATTTAAATCTTAGAAAAAAGACGTTTTCAAAAGCTTGTTAAAAATTTTAATCTTTAATCAAACAACATATTAGTTGAAAGTAATTAATTTCAAAAAAAAATAAAAATATTAAATTTTTTAATTAGTATTTTTTAATTAATAATAAAAAAGACCCATTTAAATTAGACGTTCAATAAGTAATGAAAGAATAAAATCACAAGAATTTAAAGATGGTAGATTTGCTACAAAATCTATTGAAACAAACAACTATAATTGTTATAGAATAGAAAAGTTTAAAGAGGTTCATCAAACACATAAAATAAAGTTTTTTTTGAAAAATATAAATTACAAGGTTGGACAAATGCTTTACTGAGATTCTACATGTAATATCACTAAAAACCTCTTGAAATAAGCTCTTGATTCTTATTGTATACTAAATATTATGTTAGAAAGTCGTGATGTCTTTTAAAGACATATAATTATGCTTGAGATTTTTGAATATCTACACATCTTTTAAAATTAAAAAATATTTTTTTCAAAACAAGATTTGTTTTAATCATCACAAAGATATAATTTTAACTCTAAAGAAAAGAATATCTAAGAATACAATTGAATAATTTTTAAAAAATAGTATTAACATTAATAATTGAATTTATAACTTAAAAGTGTAATTACTTTGGTTGCAATGATATGGCTTGCTATTGAATGTATATTACATCTATTCATTTAAGAGCATTCTACAAAAATTTAGATAGGGCATTTAATAAATTGTGTTGTTTTTTTTTAGAGTAATGTATTATATTGAATGTCATTTGTAATAAAATAGACTAAGCAACAATCCAAATCATATATTGGCATGAAATACTTTGGATTCTTTTAATTATTAAAAACTTTATAGAAGTAGAATACTTTTTAAACAATGATGTCTATAATATGTAAAACTAACAATATTTTGTCAAGATATTTTTTTAGATTTTTCTTTTAAAATAATCACTTTTTTAAAAAAAATTATTCGATGTGATAATTAAAAGTGATGCGATAATTGGATAAATGAATTTGGTGTGATAATTAGATAAAAGAATTTGATCACATCAAATATGGATTCAAAATTAATACAAGAAAATACTAAAATTTATGCATTTAATATGCAACATATAGATCAATCATATAGTGCAACATTGATAAACATTCATGTCTGTTGTCAATAGATTTAACTTGTAACTGATGTCCATACAATAATAGGTACAATTCACACATGTATACACTTATATTTACATACCAATAAATTCATACAATTGAACTACAATAACCACACTAGTCAAATTTCATTACTTTAGGTCAAATATGTAAATTATATTACAAGATCCAAAACTACAATTATCAATTCCATAATAGGATTTTTTTAAATAATGTTTTTTAATAGAATTAGACATCTAATTTATATTGCTTGAAGCAATTACAATCGAATTTGTTGTTCTTTATTTTAACAATCTTTACTTTTTAGATCTTTATAAAGAACTACTATATAAAAATTTTAAAAATTAAAAAACAAAAATTACACTTATAATAGATTTTACAACCAAAAAGAGATGATTTTAAGGCAAGAAATTTAAGATATGCTAAAAATTCAAAGATCAAAAAAGATCACAATAACCAAATCATTATTACTAACAAATAACAAGGCTTGGAAATCAAAGAAATTATTAATTTAAAAAATAAGATGATAAGATAGAAAATATTTAAACCTTGATTCTAATTATACTATTTATAAGGCCAAAAATCTTGTTGCTAAAGCATTTAACACCTTGCTACACAATCAACCTAAAATACTTCTTAGGCAAGTTATAAGAAAGCTATTTGAGAAGAGTTTTACAATACTTACTATCTAAGCTTTAATTCAAACTTATTATAAAAGCCATCTAATATAGTTTGATTTTTAAGCTGTCTTAAAATCTCCTAAATAAATCACCTAATATAACTTAATTCCTAAATTAATTTTAATATATTTTTTTAAGCTACTATAATATTTCAAAAAATATTTATTAGAATAAAGAAGATTTTGAAGAGGTTGAATTATACTCTTTGATCTATATTTTTGCAACATTATTTTTTTCCCAATAAAGATATCAAAGAAAAAAATTGGTAATGTTTTAGAAGTATAAAAATTTAAATATTTATTATAAAATTCATGTAATAAATATTTAACTTTAATGAATTTTTAATACATAAATAATAATTTAAACCAAAAATCATAATTATTATTTTTTGATAATAGAAAATATAATTTTATATATTGATTTAAATTTAGACTTAAATTTGATTTAATTTTTTTAAGTATGATAATTTAACTTCTATATTCATCATTTTAACTTGCAATATTATAACTAATATTTAAATATTTTTTTAAAGATTTTTATTCCAAATTTATTCATATCAAGGTCATATTTAATGTTTGAATGATTAAGATTTATCTAAAACATGCCTATAAGATACTAGTTAATATGAAAAATATTTTAGTTGATCTATGAAAAAAAGCTCTAGTATAAGATCATGAGATTATATAAAAATCTTCTACTTCTAAAATCTTCTTCAAATTTAAATCTTATTACAAAAAAAATGAAAAACTAATTAGATATAAGATAAATTTAAATTTAATAATTAATAGATTGATTCTTAATAATTTAATTTTAATCTATTTATTTATATGAAAATAAAATAAAAAATAAATATAATTATTAATAAAATAAAAATATAAAATCTTATCTACTATCATAAACATAGATATTAATTGAAAATAAAGGAATTAAATAAAAGTAAATAGAAGTAAAAAAATTTGATATTATTTTATGATGAAGCTTTTTAAAAGCTTCATAGATGTTGTATGATTTTATACATATTTGTAGATGGTTGATAGGTTGAAAACTTAGCTCATAAATTGGCTATCTATAAGAAAAGTTTGTCATATAATGCACATGTAAAACTTATCTTGTAAATTTGACATGTATCTTATAAGTTGGACATGTGTTGGAGGTCCTATAAAATATTACTATATAATTCTTAATTAGATAATATATACATATACAAGAATAAAGAATTCTTCATTCTTGTTAATGTCTTTTAAATCTTTATTTTTGTTTCAAGACTATACTATAATTGCTTATGATATGTAAAAATTAATTAAAACATGTAATATATTTATAAGTCCCAATGTATATTAGAATGGTTATCACGTTAATAAAAAGAGTTGATATAAGAAAATTTATTTTAAAGTTCATCTATTTTGATTATAGTATTTAAATTATATGATATTTAGATATTTGGTATAAAATTTTAGAGAAGATAGGAACTCAAAGATGAAGATTTAACTACTAAGAAGCTTCTTTAGAGGAATAAAAATAAGTTATAGATAAATAAAGGTAAGGGATAAAGGTATTCATCACTATTGGTCAAAAACCATATCTAATAGGCTCTCAAGAGGCTATCTACGACCATAATAAGAATTTGACAACTTCAAAAGGATCATTAGAAAATCAAAAGTAAGGATTGTAAGGTTTGGGATTTACGCTATAATTTGCATATAAACTTTATAGGATTTGGAGTTAAAATAATGAAGTTATAGCCATTTGAAGTTCACGTATCTTTTTAAGATATATTGAAAATCAAGGAGTGCACCTTCAAAGGGATTTCAAAACCTAAAATTATTACAAAAGAAGTACTACATTTGGAATTTGAATGAATGAATTAGAGTGTTGAAGATAATACATATAACTTGAAGGTATTAAGTGAGTTATTTTATCAATAATAATGATTGAAGCCATATCTTGAGTTTTTGGACGAATTTTTGGCTCAAAATTTTTAAAAATATAAATTATTAGTTTAAAAAGCTATATATCAAAATTTTATGGAATTTGAATACTTAATTTGTGAGATATGAAGAAAATTGCATGTAGATGTATATAAGCAAGGATTTGAAGCTATTATTAGGATTTTAGTGATATATCAAGATATA